CTGAGAGGCCCGCCTGCCCTCTGTGGTGTATTGACTGCGGTGTGGGGGTGTATTGAGTCTCCTGCAACCATGAGAGAGGAAGGACATGCTGTGCTCTGAGAAATGATTAAGGGTGCTGAGGAAGAAGCACCTAACTCTGCCTGGAGCATGAGGGAGTACTTCACAGAGGAAGTGGCATTGAAGGAGAGAAAGTAAGAAAGGAGATGTTCCAGGACAGCATAAGCATCTGAGGCGAGGGAGAGCGCAGGATGCCCTGGGCACCAGGGATGAGTTGGAGAGGCTTGTGCCAGATTTAGTAACTTGAATGCTAATGCTAAAAAAAACCCGGACTTTACAGTGTCTGGGACCTCTATCATTCGTCCTGTCTCCCCACCCCGCCAACCCTCCTACCAATCTAATTATCCCATGGAGCATATGAGATCCCCTACAATCTAGTATCTCCTCTAACCACATATAACCCCCTACCGCCTTCTCTGTCTGGCCATCCTGGGTGGTGTGTGTGTGCGTGTGTATTTTGTGAACTGCAGACCTCGATGACATTGAAATCTGAGAAGCCGGGGAGGCGCTGGTCCTTGCAGATGACCCCAGCATCCTCATCGTGGGTACAGTCACTGTTCCCCCAGCCCCGGGAGGCACATTCAGTCACACTCTTTTCAGTCCCACTGCAGCTCAGGTTGTCCAGCCAGATGCGGCCTGTGGAGGGGGAGATGAGGAGATAGAGAGGCTTGGGGAGGTAGGATGGGAGGAGTGATGGGGATGCTGGGGAGAGTGAGCATGGAGGCCTCACACCTGGCCATGATGATCCCATTTTTCTGGTAAGATAATGGGTGGGGACGAGACAGGGGACCCTGGAAGGGAATAGGAAAGGGAGCATAGAATTGATGGAGGGTTGGTGGTGGTCTGGGGATACTCAAGAATGTGGTAGCATGAACAGAAATCAAGGGTCAACACTAAAGTTCTGATGAGTGCTTACCCATTCAATGATAGCTACAATTAATCAAGTACCTATGTGTGTTAGGCACTCTGCTGTAGTATGTACATACATGATAATTCTTAGAACAGAGCTGCTGGGATGTATTATCACCATTTTATATAAAATTGGGGTTCAGAAAAATTAAGTAGCTTGCCTGAGACCTCACAGCCAATACATGGGGGCTTAGGAGTTTGAGCCATTTGTGAGACTTGGAAATCTAAGATCCTTTCACCTCAGCCTCACATTCTCCCATGTGCCCACCCTATCTGTGCTGCCACATTACCCCTTGTTCTTCTCCTGCCTGGACCAAACTGAAATGAACAGCACTGACTTCCTCTCAGAATTGGGTGGACCCTCAAATGTTGTCTGTCCCAGACAATGTGCAGGGACCCCTCATGCATATCCTGATAGGACTGACCCAGCTTCTGCTGGGTCACCTACCTCTCGCCTCCCTAGGCCACTGGAACCATCACAAAGTCCTTGTGACTCTTTATGACTTTCTCCCACCAGGTCTAATTCAGTCCTTTGATGCCATCCAGAAAAATCCCTCAGCCAAAGGACTGTCCTCATATTTGAGGACAACCATCATGTAATTGCTATCCAAAGCTTTTTCTTTTAATGCCAAACATCCTTGTTTCTTCAGCTATTCTCCCTTGAAACTTGGCTTCTGATCTTTCACCTCTGGGCAGCTCTCCTCTGAAAGTATTTCCATTTTCTACTCTCTCTCTTAAAATGTGGGCTCTACAAGTGACACTTTATTCCAGAAGTGGTCTAGCCAGTGGGAATTGAGAATCAGCTGCAGACTGCACCAGCTTCTGTCCATCAATCCCATTGTGGGCTCATACAGTGCAAGCACCCCCAGGTCTCAGTTTGACTTGCTCCTAAGTCCCTACTACCCACATTCATGCTCGTTCTAGAGTTTATACTTGGCCTTAGTCAGTTCCAGCTTGTTGGTTTCAGCTGTGGCCTATACTCCGATTTTGTCAGCTGCAGTATCTGTGATCCCTTCTGGCTTTGGGACATCCAGACATCATTTACCTGCTCTCAGCTTCCCATGAAACCCACCAGCTATACTTTAATCATACAGGGCTCCCCTGTATCAGGGCTGTCCTTGCACGTGGCTTTGTAGAATCATACTTTTGCAGCAGAAAGGAACTTAGAGATGATCTAGTCATTTTGCACACGGGGCATCTGAGGCTCAGAAAAGGCATTGGCCAGCCTAAGGTCACACGGCTCTGAGATGTGACTATGTTGGTTGGTTTGTCACCCTTGGGTTTACTTGACATTGGCTGTTCTTGGTGTCCTGTGTACCTGTGGCCGTGCCATCCTGGTGTTCCCTCTTCCTGCACTTAGGCACCTAGGCAATATCTAGGCTATTCCTGGAGCATTGCTCACCTGTTCCAGGGCCATATTTGGCACTGTGGGTCCAGCCTGTGGCCTCTGTGAAGCCCAGCTCTCGGCAGAGGACGTGGGCAGCCTGCAGCGTGAAGTCGTCATCGCAGATGGTGCCCCATTCCCCAGCTCGCTGTATCTCCACGCGGCCCTCGAAGGGCTTCCTGGGGAAGCCGGCCAGCCGGAAGCGCAGCCCCTGGCTTTCGGCCCTCTTCTCAGGGGCCATGGATGGGGATGGAGATCCCAGGCACGAGCTGCACAGCAGGCACAGCAACAGCCCCCACGGGCTCCACTGCCAGACACTGACAGGTTGCATGGCAGGGAAGGCCTGGGTGCCCCAGAGAGAGAGAAGGAAAGAGAAACTGACATTGAGCCAGGCCCAGGTCCAAGAGAGAGGTCATGAGAGGAACAGAGACACTGAGGAAGACCAGAGACAGAAAGACAGTGCAAGAGAGAGAGGGACCCAGGGACTAAGAGAGACAGTGAGAGAGAAACATACACTAAATAGGTCTGAAACACTGAGTCAAAGAGGCGCAGACTGAGACCCAGATTGGGGAAGAGGGAGAGAGAGAGAGACAGAGACATAGAGAGAGAGGCTCTCCCTCCCTTTGGTAAAGAGTAAAACTCTCACTATTAGTTTTTATGCCTTCCAATGTCCTTCCCTAGTTCTGCCATCATCGCCTCCATTACCCCCACTCACTGATCTAAGAGACCCAGAGATCAAAAGACAGTGATTAGAGACCAAGAGTCAAAGAATGGTCAAGATAAAGAGATATGGAACAAGAGAAACACAGAGAGGAAGACCCAGACAGATAGGAGGTGAGAGGAAGGGAAACTGTGGGACTGAAAGGGGACCAAAGAGAAAGAGACAGCAGAGAGAAAGACACTGTTGAAGATGGATAAAAGGTGATTGGGAGAAAGCCGGGCACACAGGATTGGGGAGAAAAGGAGAGAGGCAGGCAACAGGTGAGGAGGACAGGGATTGACAGGAGCCAAGGAGCAGAAGTGGGAGGGACCCAGATGACCCCATGCAGCTAGTCAGACAGAGGACAGCTACTGATTGTGGAGAAAGGCAGGCAAGGGGGTCTTAGGAAACCCTTGGATCTCTGGCCCCCTGAATGGGAGCCAAGCCCAGAGTCCTATCTGGGCAGATTCCAAGGCAGAGAGGGCAGAGATCAGAATACATGCAGAACCCGCTGCACACTCTACCCAGCACACAGGCTCTCACATGCCCTGGAGGGTCAAGGGGCCCAGGAGGGCCAGGCCTCAAGCTTGGCGGGGAGTGGGGGGTTGTCCAAGTCTCCTGCCAACACTGCCATCGCTGTCACTGGGCAACCGGAGGCCAGGGCGCCAATCGGCTCCTCAGCCAAGGCCTTCCCTCTGTCTGGGGCTGAGAACAGCCTCTCTACAGCAAGCCCCCCCACCCCCTACATGCTTCCCCCAACTCAGACAAACAACCCAACAGGACAGCTTTGTTCTGGGGACACTGTGGCTGGGGGGCCCAGGGGTAGGGCCTCACAAGAGGAGCCCCCAGCCTTAGGGTCCTCCCAGCTGCCCTATTTGGAACACTCTGCAGTCTCCCCCCCCACCCCCCCAAATATCTGCTTCCTCTCTCCACTCTTCTTGTGTCTCGTTCTTCTTTGACAATAATAAAACCCTCAGTTGGTTGGCTTCCCCTCGACTCCATCCTACATCACCCTTTTCCCCTGGTCCCTGCACCATCCTCTCCATCCGCAACTCCCCTTCCTCCTGCCGGCAGCGCGACTCCCCCTACCTTTGGCTGAGCGGGGGCCCTAGGGGCTGGGAGAAGAATGCTGGTCCTGGAGATCAGTCCTAGGACTTTCAAAAAAAAAAGTGCTCGGCCAGGGGAGACTGGACCCCCCCTCTCTCCTCCCTCTCCTTTAGTCCCTCCCACGTCCCCTTGAGCCCTCCCACATTCCGCCTTCTCCCTCGATTGCTCCCTGGCCAGTTCCCTCCTCTTTTCCTCTTAGTCCTCCCCTCCCCCGTGACGCTAGCCGCTGCCGCTCCACCTCCCCCCGCCCCGACCTTCCCGGAGTGCTCAATGAAGCTTTCTTTTCCCGCAGGTTGGAGGCCCGGCAGCTGCGGTCAGGAAGCTGGACACGCAAGAGGCCACCGGGCCGCGGACCGGCCCGGACGGCGGCCCCTGCGGCGGCTGGAGGCCGCGACTCGGCTCCGGGCTCCGGGAAGCCTTCCAGTCCCCAGCCCCTAGCCCTTGCTCCATGTCCCTGGGTCCGCGGAGTGTAAACAGCCCAACTCCGGCCAGGCTGGGGGCGGGTCCGGTCAGGGGAACTGAGGCCATGAGGGCCCACGTGGCCCCTCCAGTGCCCCAGGGTGACCGTCACCATTTTCGAGGTGATGTCACGGCCTTCACTCTGATGTCACGTTGAGCATATGACATCGCACGCAGCCCCCAAGCCCAGGCGCCAGAGCCTTCTGGCCAAAACCGCGAGGTTTCTCTTGGTGGAGCCACTTGCGCGCGTCCTAGAGCTAAGGGCAGGGACCTGGAGGTGGACCCCCTCCCCTTCCTTCTTGCTCTTCTCCTTCCTGATCCTTCAAGGTCCGCAGGGGCCGGGGGAGGGGCGGCAACGCCTCCGGTGGGCCCGCCCCGCCCCGCCCCGCCCGCAGCCCCGGGGCCAGGAAGTGCGAAAGGAACCGCCGCGGGCGATGGACGGGGCCGTGATGGAAGGGACGCTCTTTTTGCAGAGTCAGCGTTTCGGTACCAAGGTAGTCAGGGGCAAGGGTTGCCGACCCCCCTCAGAGCTAGGGGTGGGCGATAGAGCCCAGAAAGAGGGAGGAGGCGGGCAGCGGGTTGGAGCGCGGCGCCCGGAGCTGGAGAGCCCTATGACGTTCCCGCGAGGTTGCTCTGCACACTCCGGGGAAGCGCCCGCCGGGCTCTGGGTACGCCCTCTCTGGTCGTGGGGAGACGGAGCGGCTTCCTCCTTGGGCGAGTTCGCCTCCCATCGGGAAGCCTCAGACCCAAAATCGGCCACCGCCGGTCTCTCTTTCCCCGTCGGGCCCCGGGCTGCCGGTGCTCGCCTGCCCCCTCCGCAGCGTCTCTCGCTCTCTCTCCGCAGAGGTGGAGGAAGACCTGGGCCGTGCTCTACCCAGCCAGCCCCCACGGCGTAGCGCGGCTCGAGTTCTTTGACCACAAGGGGTCGAGCTCTGGAGGGGGCCGAGGGGGCTCGCGCCGCCTGGACTGCAAGGTGATCCGTCTGGCGGAGTGTGTGAGCGTAGCCCCCGTGGCCGTGGAAAGCCCCCCTGAGCCTGGCGCCACTGCCTTCCGCCTGGACACCGCGCAGCGCTCCCACCTGCTGGCGGCCGACGCGCCGTCCAGCGCCGCCTGGGTGCAAACCTTGTGCCGCAACGCCTTTCCGGTGAGGGGGCCGGGACTGCCGGCGAGGGGCTCCTGCGAGCCGCACCGGGCCTAGAGGCGTTGCGGGGGTGGGGGCAGTTACTGCGGCGGAGGAACTGGGTTGGCTCAGATCCTGGGAGCCGCGTTGAGGGAATTACAGGGTCTTTGATACTCTCTTTCTCTTTACCCCAGAAAGGCAGCTGGGCTCTGGCGCCTGCTGAGAACCCACCCAAGCTTTCTGCCCTGGAGATGCTGGAGAACTCCCTGTATAGCCCCACCTGGGAAGGTAGACGCCTGAGAAGCCCGGGCAGGGATGGGGTGGAAAGGAAGGGTGCCCTTGGGAAGGGGATGATTAGAGGGTCCAGGGACCCCTGGGGAAGTAGGAAGCTCCTGAGAGCTGGCTTCCAAGTGGGTGCTTGGACAATCTGCCCCACCCCCTAGTCCCGGCCAGGTGCCCGTCTAACTGTGTATTCCTTCCAGGATCCCAGTTCTGGGTAACCGTGCAGAGGACTGAAGCCGCTGAGCGCTGCGGCCTGCACGGCTCCTATGTGCTGAGGGTGGAGGCTGAGAGGCTCACTCTCCTGACCGCGGGGGCCCAGAGGCAGATACTAGAGCCACTCCTTTTCTGGCCTTACACTCTGTTGCGTCGCTATGGCAGGGACAAGGTGCGGGGGCTGTCAGGGAGGGCTGGCTTCCTAGGTCTGGGCAGCTGTGGGGGAGGTGGGGCAGGACAGGAAGGTGGAAAGCTCTGCCCTCTGGATAACCCTTCTTTGCCTAGCCCATGACCCCACCCTCTTCTCCAGGTAGTCTTTTCTTTGCAGATCCCCTAAGTAGTACGGCCCTGTGACTCACCTCCTCTCATGGCTCCTGGTAATGTGTTTCTCTCCACATTCTCTTCAGGTCATGTTCTCTTTTGAGGCTGGCCGCCGCTGCCCCTCCGGCCCTGGAACCTTCACCTTCCAGACGGCACAGGGAAATGACATCTTTCAGGCAGTTGAGACTGCTATCCACCGGCAGAAGGCCCAAGGAAAGGCTGGTCAGGGGCAGGATGTTCTCAGAGCTGATTCCCATGAAGGAGAAGTGGCAGAGGGGAAGTTGACCTCCCCCCCTCAGGAGGTCCTGGGCAGCCCTCCAGCACTGTATGCTGAGCCCTTAGACTCCCTTCGTGTTCCTCCAGGCCCTTCCCAGGATTCCCTATACTCAGACCCCCTGGACAGCACCCCTGCTCAGACAAGGGAGGGGGCACAGTTAAAGAAACCTCTCTATTGGGACTTGTATGAGCATGCACACCAGCAGTTGCTGAAGGCCAAGCTGAAGGACCCCAAAGAAGACCCCATCTATGATGAACCTGAGGGCCTGGCCCCAGCTGCTCTCCGGAGCCTTTATGATCTGCCTCAAGAGCCCAAGGATGCATGGTGGTGCCAGGCCCGGGTGAAGGAGGAGGGCTACGAGCTCCCCTACAACCCTGCCACTGATGACTATGCTGTGCCACCCCCTCGGAGCACAAAGCCCCTCCCAGCTCCCAAGCCCCAGGGCCTGGCCTTCCCTGAAGCTGGAGCTGCAGCTGGCAGTGGCAGCAAAGGCCACAGCTCAGATGGTGCCCTGTACAGCCAGGTCCAGAAGAGCGGGGCCTCAGGGAGCTGGGACTGTGGGCTTTCTAGAGCAGGGACTGACGGGACTGGGGTCAAGCCAGAGGGCTCCACGTGAGAAGTAGGGCAAGGCTGGGGTTACTGATAGGAGGACCATGGGGAGGTGGCAGTGGGGAATCAAAGAAACCTGTTAGAACCAGCGGGAACCAGAGGGCTGGAGGGGCCTGTGTGAGACCAGGGGGCCAGAGGGATCAGGGATGGATGATCAATCCCAAGAAGTCCTGGAAGTGGGACAGATGGCAGGGGCTGCGGGATGGGACCTGGGGAGGCCAGCACCCCTAAGTCATCCCCCCCAAAGGAATGGACAGCTGCCGGACCAGGTCTGTGGAAAGGGGTACTTGGTCAGAGTAGGTGCAGTCTGAGAGACCTGTATGGAGGCTATACGGAGATGCTGGACTGTGCCTGGATCCTTACCCCTGCATTGTTCTTTGCCGGAAATATATATTTTTAAAAGTCTTATTCTCATTAAAGTCAGTTTGGGTTTAAGAGGTCTATGTGTGTGAATAGTCACAGAGAGGACACAGTAGCATGGTGTGCTAGGTGGGTGTGGAGGGGATCAGGAGGAGAACCAGGAATGTGTTAGGGGCCAAGGAAGGAGGAAAGGGCTCCCAGGAGGGGAGCCAAGCAGTGTGGTGGTTTAGAGCCTGAGTGGTCTAGGCAAGCTCACCTGGGCTTGACCCTGTCTTGGTGACCCTGGGTGAGTTGTGTAACATCTGCAGCCCTCAGTTTCCCCTGCTGCCCCTCTGTAAAACAGGAAAACTTAATAACAGTCTACCTCACAGGATTGTTTGTATGAAAGGAGTTAAATTTCGCAAGTACTTAGTGCAATTTGAAGCACAGAGTAAGCATTTTATAAATGGTAGTTATTATTCTGTGGATGGAGAGGGCAGGACGGTGTGGGGAGAGGGGAATAGGAAGGGAATAGGTCTTTTTCACACCATCCTTTCCCTGTTCTCGGCTATATGTCACCCCCCCCACACACACACATTTTGCATGTAGGTACCAAGCACCAACCACTTTTCTGTTTGGAGGCTGAAGGGAACTACAGTGTGGTGGGTGTAGTGGAAGGGGCACAGGCTTTGGAATGAGGCTTGGATTTCAATCCTACTTGTTTTTCATGAGCTCTGGAAACCTTATCCTTGTCTCCTGAGCCCCGGTTTCCTGAAGGTGACCTTGCCTCATCCAGCTGCCTACACAGAGCCACCAGGAGAAATTCGGGGGTAGGAATGCTCCTAACAATGATGGAGGCTTACTGGGTGTTTAATTTTCATCTGTGTTAACAGTATCAAATGATCCAAAAGAAAACGAAGTCCTTGCTTGGAGAACGAAGAGGTTTAGGAGTGTCTCTTCCGGGCCTGAGGATTGGGGTGGTGGTAGCACTGAGCCCAGAGGAGGGGAAGGCCCTGTTTCCCAGTCACCCAGAGCTCACAGAGGCTCAGCTGGCTAGAAGGCAAGAGTCTGTCCACAGAAAGCCATTGTGTGAAGCCTTAGCATGGTGGAGTAGGGCCAGGCTCGGGCTCTGGTGACTTAGGGCGCTGAGGGATACTCCTCCTCCGCTTCCTCTTCCATGAAAGGCTGGAAGAAGCCTTCTGAGGGAGCTTTGCAGGCTGCTGGCATCTTGAGGGCTCTGCTGGGGGCTGGAGTCATAGGCAGGGGGGCCACTGTGGCTCGAATTCGGTTCGTCTGCAACTGCCCACCCTGCAAAGCAAGCAAGTAGAGCCTTCTCTGAAGACCAGACAGTTCCTGATCTCCTATCTCGTTCCCTGCTGGGCCTCATGTCCTAACTCCTTCAGGTGTCCCATCCCTGGAGTGCCAGCCTCAAGGCCCAGGGCAGTGGGGTCCCCTGGGCTCCAGCCTCCACAGCGCCTGTCTCCTGGCCGAGTGTTCTTCCTCTGTTAGCTTGCCCACCGGCTGACTGGTGGTGGACTCTGCTCGCACGCATCTGGTTACTGCTCCCACCGCTAGACTGACTGTAATTTGGAAACATCTTTCTCTTGTAACTTTGGCTAAGGCAAAGCAGGAATTTTCTAAAGGCTCTGCTACTGGGAAACTAGGAGAATATTAATAAGGGCAAAAGGAAGCTCAAATATTATAGATTATGGATTTCATAAAAATAACTCTCCACCCTCAATTACTCTTCTCTCTTCAACCCTGTCACGAGAGCCCTGTCTCTAAGCTGCTAACCTTGGTCAGCCTCCCTCTCCTTATCTGTAAATGAGCATAACACTTACCTTGCAGGGATGCTGTGAGGATTAAATGAGAGAAATATGTGTGAAAGCACTTGTCACAAAACCTGGCAAATGACTGGTGCACAGTACATGCTAATTTCCCGTCCCTTGGGCATTTCTTTTCCCAGGTTCTCTTCAGCCTTTTCTGTAACCAAGGGCTGTGGTTGTAGTTCCAGTGCAGCCAGTTTGCTTAGTGGGACAATGGTCTGTTAAATGACTAATGAGTTACCATAAACACTACAGTTAAGATACCTAAACATTATCCTATGTAAATGCCCAAGGAGAAAAGCCCCCCTACCGGGAAGGGGTTATCATTTCCTTTGTCTAGGGCAAAGGGCCGCTCTTTTTCTCCCTCCCCTGTTGGCCAGGGTCTCCCCTCCACCAGGGGAGATTCAGGGAGGAGGGCTACTCCCTTGGATGTGGGGAGTTGGGGACAGGGGAGGAGGGCTCTCTTGGATTCTGGGCATAAAGGGGAGGGAGGGAAGTATGGAGGTGAGCTGTACCTTTCTCAGGGCCCGGCTCTCCCAGCTCGAGTGGAGTTGGCCTTGAGGCTTGGCAGAGGTGCTGCTCAGGTATGAGTACAGGTGGCTACAAACCTGCAAGGGGTTGTAAGTGGGCTCCAGCTCCAGGCAGTCCAGTGTGCTCTGAGGAAGAGAGGAGGAGCTTCACCCAGGGAACTTGTGGTCACAGAACATAAGATGTCAGGCAGAGACCTTTGAGTGTGAAAGGCTAGAGGAGGTGTGAGGCCCCAGGACTTCAGTGAAGGCTGTGAAACAGATGTGTGTCCCACTGGGTGTTCTGGCCTCCAGGTCTGAGTGCTTGTGAGGTAAGTATCAAGCAAGAGTACAAGAAATAGGAGCAAGCCTGAGTGGTTAGGGGCACCAAACACTCTGGCCCTGAGAAGTGTGTCACGGGATTCTGAGAGGGGCCGGAGTGCATGAGGGTTACAAGGGATCCAGTGTGTGAGGCTGTAGGGAGGGTGCTCCCAGTCTGCAAGGCGAGTACACTGAGTTCTCGGCCTGTGAGGTGAGCATAACCAGAGGACACACGAGCACAGCATTCCTGAGCAGTCAGGTTTTCCGGCCACAACATCCTGTGCCAGGAACCACTGGCTCCAAAGTGAGACGCCGATCGAGCCATGGCCACTCGTGCCCACCTCTCTCCGCATCCCCATGGCCGCCAAGCTGAGAGCACAATCCCAGGCTCTGTCCTCTCTGCACGTAGGCCGGCGATCCAGCAGTGATGTGGTTCCAGTTCTCCCCTCCCAGAGCCCCCTCCCGCCCTTAGCCTATGGGGGCTGGCAGAGGAAATCCAGGATCCAGATCCAAGGAAGAGAGGAGGAGAAAGTGGCCTTCCCAGCTGTTCCGTCCTTTGCACCGGAGTCTCATTTTGAAGCCCTTCCTATTCTGGGAGCCTACATTGGCTACCTTTTCCTCTTCTCCTCAACAAACAGAAATAGATGCATGTAGCCACAGGTACACGCACACGCACACACATAAGGCAGAGAAAGAGAACACACCATCACGTGGATGCTTGCTTCCTTCCTTCCGCCTGGCCTCAGTTCCCACCCTTGCTTTCTCCTCTGCCCCACTTACCACACCCTTGAAACCACTCTCCTTCCACTCCCCTGTCGTTTCCCTCACAGGCTCACTCCTCTCCCTCATCCCTTACCCGAACTCCATTGTCTTCTCTCCCCTCTGTCTGTTGCATGAGATCTAGGCTCCACTTGCCTCCACAATCTTCAGGCTGTCCTCAGGCGGGTCCTCAGGCAGCAGGGGGAAGGGACTGGGCAGCATCAGTTCCCGCGTGGCCACTGCCTTCACCAGCAGGGTCGGGGAGCGTGATGGCAGGATCACATAGAAGGTGCTGGTGGGCTCTCTCAGGCTGTGTCCTCCGCTCAGGGGCTCCCCTTTGGCTAACAGCAGCCATTCTCTTTTCTGAAACAAGGACGTACATAAACGCTGGTGCATCTTCAGTCTTTGGCACGTCTTGAAGATCAATCCCAGTTGAGGCTTCCCCAAGTTCCTCGGGGATGTCAGGGAGGGCTGAGCCATTTTACCCTGGCCCTGGGAGGGAGGGACTTCCTGCCTGAATCACCAGTGCCCCGAGGTACTGCTCTTCCTCCTTGGTTGGGATGTACACAAAAGGGTTAACAATGCAGAGACAAGTTAAGAGATGCTTTTAACTTGAAGGAGGTGTTCACCCCAGAGGGGGCTGATGTATTATTACTTAATGGTAAATGTAGAGTTTTAAGAATTATAATTCTTAAAAACAGAGTCTGGAAACAGAGACTTGTGTGGGGTGTTGTGAAAATTCAGGTCCTATTTTGAGGGTGATAAAGTCTGGTTGTGCTGCATGACTGGGGTTAGAGTGGACTGACTGGGGAACATCCCTGGAATGCCCAAAGAGGCTTTATGAAGAAGGTGGTCAACGTCTCCTGCCAAGTGAGAGGAGAAGGAGCCATGAGGGAGAGGAGAGCTTTGTACAATGAGGAGGAGGGTGGGGGACAGAGCCCTTGACATCATCTCAGCCTGTCACAGGACAAAGAAGGGTCAGAATTCTGGGGCAGTGACTCTTTGAGTGAAGGGTACTGCAGAACAGTGGGATGACACTTTCCCATGTGCCATGGAGATTACAGAGGTTAGCACATGGGTAAGCAGAAGAGAAAGCAGGCATCAGCAGATTTTTTAGGTGCACATTTTTAAACCAGGCATGGAAATGAGGCAATTTTCTGTGGTAGTTTTTCAAGGAAAACCACAAAACTCCAGGAAATATGGAGTCAGAACTGTTACAACCATCTGTAAATTGTGTCTTCTTGCTTGAGGTGATCATTAATTATACCTGCTACAAACATAACAGTCTCCTTGCTAAATGAGATGAAAGAAAGCACACTAGCTCTACCCACTGTAACTTATATGAAAAGTTGGGAGAAATAATATGAGGAAAGGCAAAAAGGAGAAAAAAAAGATCTTAAAGGGATAGAGGAATATCAGTGTCTTGTGGAAGCCAAGTGGAAAGTGACACAGTGAAGCAGAAAAAACCTGCTAGCATTAAAGTTATACCCCAGAGGGAATGTGCTGGGGTGGGGGGGAGAAGGTTCTGGACACTTGAAAGCACTGTCATCATTCTGTGCAGCCCAGAACTCTGAGGAGTTCTGGTAGGCTGAGCAGGTGGTAGGTACCTTCAGAAGTTCATGTTTTCTCAACATTTTGCTTATATCTGGACATGTGCTGTCTTCCTGAAGAACAGATCCAAAATGTGATGGAAAGTCTACCTGATGCTTCTCAAATCCATCAAGTTGGACATAGATGATATAGAAACCATGGTGTATGTATGTGTAGGGGGAATTTGCCCCTGCTCTGAGGACATGGCCCCTTTAAAGACTAGGAGGGGTAAGTAGGAAGTTGTAGGGCACTCCGTTTCAGTTGGTTCAGGTAACTTCTGATTTGGCTCAGGCTTTGGATTATTACTATTATTTTAAGCTTCTACTTTTACACAGGTTCATGCATTTGTTTGTGAATTAGTTTATTTATTTAAGAATTTATTGAGTGCCTATTATGTCCCTAGCACTAGGCATGGGTATATAGAAATTCATTAGACATGTTCCTTGCCTTCTTACAGCTTATAATATAGTAAAGGGAAGGCTCGTAAACTAATGTTTGGCCAAGACTTAGGATGACCAACTGTTCTGGTTTGCCCATTTTTAGCACAGAAAGTCTTGCATCCTAGAAAACCCCTCAGTCCTGGGCAAACCAAGGTGGTTGGTCACCCTTCCAAGACTCCACGGAGAACAGAGTATCTTACCACTGTGGCAAGTCACTGGGGGCCAAAACTATGGCAATATGACATTTCTTGCACCTCAGTGTTACAGAACAAATTCACATCTGGTACATCATGGGATTACTAAGAAACTTTGAATGTCGCACACAGAAAAATTATGATCTGCAGAATTTGAGTCTATTGATTTTGAGACAATAGCTAAGATTCTGTTAGAGAACTGATACGCAGAAATGAGTGAGGTCTCTCAGAAGTAACTCCTGATGTGGGGACTATCAGAAGACTGGGAATAGACTGAGTGAAAGGATTTACCAGATGCTTTAAAACTTCTGGGCTGATTTACAGGGAGATTAGCAGAAGGCTCTGGAAGGAAGAGAGGCAAATATACCCTTATTAGAGTTTGATAAAGATATTAATTTATCTGCAATTCCCAGGAGCATTCTGAGAAAGTGAGAGGTCGGGAAGTTGAACTTTAAGGGCCTTATTTTGGATTCGGAATTTCTAACCTCTTCCTGGACAGTGGTTAATGGCACCAGAGACTTGAAGTCCGGGACCCAAGCTTGAACATGTTACTCAAGTCATGGGTTGACTTGTTGGTACAGGCAATTGTACCCGTGATGGAAATCATTAATTGCTATCGCAGGTTTCTGAGGCTGAGAAAAGGCAGTGGTGAGAGGATGTTTCAGAAGACTAGCCTTTGGGGGTCCTCAAATCAGACAATGCTTAATGACTATAGATGACTGCTGAGTACTTTAGAATATGCTTTTGCTATTTCTAAAGAAAAGATCATTAGTTACTGGAAGGCAGAGAAAAGGTATCTGTATTTATGTTGTGGAAGGTGCCAGGGAGCTTAGATTTTAGGAGGGAGGGACTGATTCTGTTTAGAACAAATGTGGACAGGGTCAGAGTTGAATGGCATGCCATACTCCAAGCTCAGTTGAATTAAATTCATCCTCCCCGATCCCAGCCCTTAGTAACTTCTAATTACTAAGGCTGTGAAGGAAGATGTGGCAGCCACTGTTGGTTGACTGGCTACTGCTCCCCTCCCTTCTCTCTTCTCCCTTCTCTCTACCCATTTTTGAGCCTTTCAGTGATTGGTCTGGGGTGATATGTGACCTAGATTTAAATAATGAGACATAAGTGGAAGTTGCTGGGTGGGGCTTCCGGAAAATCTTCATAATATGCTGGCAGGCTTTTTGCCTCTGCACCCTACCCCTGCTTTTTTCCTAAGATAGGACTGGGTCTTAAGGTCCAACAGCCATCTTGTGACCAGGAGGCAACAGGCATAAGGATCAAATACACCCAGTATGGATGCTGCAGTGGGAAAATAGAAAGAGCCTGGGTTCTGATGGTATCCTTGATCAAGTGCATCAGCCTCAGAATAGTCTGTCCCCTAATACTTCTTGTTACATGAGAAAAATAAACTCTTAATTACTCACGTTAGAGGTAGATTGGTTTTCTGTTAGTTGCAGCCAAATGGATCCTCTACAGATAGCAAAGGGAAGGAAGAGGATGTGGTTACTCACTTCTAGGTACATGAGGAGACATGAGTAGACTGGACAATTTTAATGGCACCAGCATAGGCCTTGCCAGAAGGGCAGATGGGAATTTATTATAGCAGGTAAAAGCTCTAATCTCACCACACCAGCACGCCCTTGGGCTGCTATCAATACGACGTCCTGGGATCAAACTCAAGGGGTCAAACTATTTTTTTTGTGTGTGTGTGTGAGGAAGATCAGCCCTGAGCTAACGTCCATGCCAATCCTACTATTTTTTTTTTTTTTTGGCTGAGGAAGACTGGCCCTGGGCTAACATCCATGCCCATCTTCCTCCGCTTTATGTGGGACGCCGCCACAGCATGGCCTGACAAGCGGTGCATCAGTGTGCTTCCGGGATCTGAACCCGGACCGCCAGCAGCGGAGCGCGTGCACTTAACCGCTATGCCATGGGGCCAGCCCAAGGGGTCAAACTATTAAAGAAGCATTGACCAACTCCTGAATGGGACTGTTTCAGATGCAGCCACTGAGAGGAGGGAAGAGCAAGAGCACTCATTTTGCTTTGCTCGTGCGAAGAGACACATTTCATTGTCATAAGGCATCCAGGAAGAGAAATTACAGCTAGTTATGGAAAAGCTATGCATTCTTGGGGATTTTTGGAAACAGGAACGGCATCAGGAAGAAATTAGGTTAATTTGGCAATTTGTGCTCATTCTCTTACTCTAGAAGGCAGGACCCAGGAGGGGAAGAAAAAGAGGCTGCAGTGTCCACTACTCCACTACTCTCACACTGGCTCCCACAGAGGAGACCAGGGGAAGATGGTAAAAGAGATTTCAAACCCTAAAACAGTAGATTATACATTCTTCTCAAGTGAACATGGAACATTGTCTAGGATAGGTCATATGATAGGCCATAAAACAAGCTACAATAAATTTCAAAAGATTGAAATCATCCAAAGTATCTTCTCTGACCATAGTGGAATAAAATTAGAAATCAATAATGAAAAGAAATTTGGGAAATTCACAATGTAAAAATTAAACAACATATTCCTAAGTAATCAGTGGATCAAAGAAGAAATCACAATAGAAAATAATTTGGGATGAGTGAAAATAAAAACACAACATACCAAAATTTATGAAATATAGCTAAAGCAGTGCTTAGAAGGAACTTTATAGCTGAAAACTCCTCTATTAAAAAAGAAGATCTCAAATCAATAACATAACCTTACACCTTAATAAACTAGAAAAAGAAGACCAAACTAAACCTAAAGCAAGCAGAAGGAAGGAAATAAAACATATTAGAGTAGAAAGAAGTGAAATAGAGAATAAAAAAATAATAGAGGAAATCAGTGGAACCAAAAGTTGGTTCTTTGAAAAGATCCACAAAATTGGCAAACTTTTAGCTAGACTGATCAAGGAAAAAAAGAGAGAATATCCAAGTTACTAAAATCAGAAATAAAAGAGGGGGCATCACTACTGACCTTACAGAAATTAAAAAGGTTATAAAGGAATATTGTAAACAATTTTATGCCGACAAGTTATATAACCTAGATGAAATGGGCATATTCCTAGAAAGACCCAAACTACTGAGACTGACTCAAGAAGAAATAGAAAATCTGAATGAATCTATGTTGCAGGTCCTCAAGACCACTCCCAGGTTGGGTG